TTTCCTTTTCCAAAATCCCCTCTCCCAACCAACACAGCGTAAATGACAATGGCGATCACATCGTTATGTTCTCACAGCGTTGAGACTAAGCAATTAAAGTTTTTCTTCCCATAAAATTTATGGATAGGTGCCCACGAAAAGCGCGAAAAATAGTAATTACCACTAAAAAGGATGTGATGACGAATAAGATTCAGTTGCAACTTTGCTCCTGCCGATTGAACGTGAATTTTGCAGTTAATCTCCACCCTGTCATTCCTGTGCAGAGACACAAACTAATTAATAACAACACTTCTCATGTTTCTATTTTAAGTGCCTGATGTGAAGAAAGGACATTCCCACAGTCCATCATGTTTAGCAGAATGAAAAAATTTATTTTTTGAAAGACATTTAAAGTGGTAAGTAATTTTTCTTCACCATAGATTTCGAGTCACCACACCATACCTTCAGATATGTCTCGCAAGTTCATTGGCATGCAGAACATTAGCAAGCTTTTGGACTGAAACCGTATGCAGCAGATTTAGCTGTTTTTATACCCTGAAGATTTCCAAGTGCACAGCACTATTTAAAAGGAAAAGCCAACTAGCCAAGATATTACACATTATAGCATTTTTCACAATAGGAATTTGCAAACATAATCAAACCTTGCATACAAACCATCAACTGTTTCCTGCTATTCAACCAGCCTTATGCCAAAATGGATTTTAAAGTTGCGCATACAGTTCTACTCCTCCCTAATTTCAATATAATCAACCGCGGTACTTTGGACTCTATTTGGAGACTGTAACAGGGCAACATTTCATTCAAACTTTTAAAAAAATTATTCTTAGCTAAGCTAAAAAAATTAATAACCAAACAAACAACTTTGCAAGGGGTAATTGAGAACCTGTACGCATTACATCATATGCTACAAGCAACGGTGGAAGTAGCTTTATAGCTGTCTTTGCCAATGTGCTTATCCCTCACACGTGAAGGTTCTTTCCATTACCAAATGTAGAATTCAAAAAACAGGTTGACTACATACGTATATATGCTTGTATCTGAAGTGAAAATTCTTACCCTGATTCGCATCATTAATTGTCAAATCGCGATTCCTTCGAGGCATATGAAAAACTGGTGTCGTCTTTGATGACTACATTTACCAATCCTAGCCTTCTTTGCTAGTTGTAACGGACTGTTTCTCTCATGGGTTTTCCAACCAATAGATTTTGTCAAAAGAAATGACCTTGCAAGAAGATAAGAGAATCTTTAAATCATTCCACCCCCTCTGCATCACAACCCAATTACGTGAAAAAAGTGATACCTTAATTAAACCTTAACCATCATGATGTTGCATTAACAGAGCAAGAAAAATATACATTAGGTGAACCCACACCTGGAGGAACTTCTAAAAAAACCTAGTATTTCCTGAATTTATTGGAAACCAGACACTACACACAAGTTTCAGGAAATTTAGCAAGTACCAAAAGTGACCATACTAAAAAAAGGCTGTAGGCATTCAAAGGAATTTAAATGAATGTTACCCATTACACGCATATGAACATTACTGTTCATACAAAAAATGTACCTCACCCTATGTGCTGTTTGTTGCAAACTGTAGCCTCTATCCTTTGTCTATAGAAAGCATGAATGGACGTTGCCATAATTCCTGCAATTTTGTTACTTACAACGAGAAAAAGAAAAATTGCCTTTTATTCAATATTGTATTCATAAACATACATACAATATGGCATGTTAGGCTCACGACACAACCATAAACCCATTTTAACATTAACAGAAATCAAGCTTTAACTACAAACGTTAAGTTAGCAGGATCCACAGAGAGAGAAAGAGAGAGCAGAGGAGGACGGAAGGAGGAGGAGGAGGAGGAGGCAGAAAGAAGAAGAGTAAGAAGAAGCAAGAAGAAGAAGTAAGCAAAGAAGAAGAAGAGAAGCAAAAATTTAATCATATCTCTCTCTATCATGTTCCCTACATATCTTACCCATGAGCGAGCCATTCAACAGGGAAGTTCCCAGAGAAAATTGTATTTCCGATACAAACTTCCTACACTTGATGCAACGAACTTTGAGATCCAATTTCAATTGGCCATCGACTTCGCAGTCGCCGGATTTCCTTTAAAGTATTGGCCTTTCTCTGAACACTCTTTCCCAGAAGACATATTTTCTGGACCCCCATAACCACCATGGGACACCGCGCCATTGCAAAACACATGCAGTTTTCAGTACCAATACCACCTCGATGCACCTGCCCAAATAGCCAGCAAAACAACAATAAGAAAAGTATATGGAAAAGATCCAAATGGTATCAAATGCCCAACAAGAACATTATTTTTAGGTCATTCAATGCACAGTAAGCCATTCCTTCAAAGTATAATTTAAATTTTGAAATGAAATGAGGTGGGGCATTCGCAGCAAGAATGGCTTGCCCAATCCAAAACCCTCAAACGAAGTTTTTCAAACATTAACTAACTCATCTAGAATTGGTCTCCTAAAGTGAAATGCACTATAGGTAAAAACTAGGTAAAAGCCCAAATAGTCCAACTTTAGGGGAATTCTGCAAACAGGGCCTTGTTTCAAAATCTAGTACTAGTCACCGTGTTGTGCATAAACACCTATGGGTTAGTGAATTTAAACATTGTAGACTACTTAAAAAAATATATTATATAACCAACAGATATTTCAGCAAATTTTTTATACAATTCATTTTCTGGGCTAATTCTTTGAGAAAAATCATTTTCAGCAACTACAATTCTCAAGTCCGGCACACTATACATACTTTCAAAAATAAAATTTGGCCAAAACTCGAGGATATAATGATATTTGCAAGATTCATTCACATTGCACCACATTTGAGGTGACTACTAAACCAGGCGTCTATGCAAATATCCGCGCTAGTATCATATCTAATAATGGTACTTATGCGCCTCCGGATTTTACCATTATTCACTGACATAGACTGTATATGAGGATAAACTAATACATGATCAATACTGTTTTTATTAAAACATGTTACTCACCCTTTTATTCCACCCCCGAAAAGCTATTTTTCCTTTATAACTTTTTCAAAAGTAAAACTGAACACTTAACACAAGGAGGGTATCTCCATGGTCCTGTTTTCAAAAAAACTTTGTTCCCATATATATGGTATAATTAAAATCCAGGCCCTTTTCCACCGAGTTTCTTTTCAAAAAAAATTAAAAATACAAAAAAAATAAAAAAGAAAAAAGACAACCAATGGCTTCAATTAATATATAAAAGCAAAAAAGAAAGGCATAATGGCTTGAGGTATATGGACTAGTTAACAATTTACAGTACAACAAAGTTTTTTACTTGGTATTTGAAGGGTAATTTATATGAAAATTGGGCCGAGCTAGGGCCGTATATGGCCTCAGTACGAAGCGGTTGAGTAAAAAAGGGCATAAAGTTACTCCCGATCTGAAGACGTTAAAGTTACTCCTGTCCCAAGGAGGTTAGCTCGTTCACCATACTAAAACTACAATGTTATACCGGTTATGCCGC